TGAGATGCCATTTTTCAAAACTGACTATACATTGGATTTAAAATATTCTCTGTCAAAATTCCAATCAAATTATCAACCAAAAATATTTTTAAATGAATATTGTCAAATCACTCAACTATTTACACAGAAATGCAAAGGACTTTCACTTTGCAAAACAAAATATAGCACAATTTTTTGAAGATTTCCCAACTGCCTTCAAAGCTTGTAAAGAGATGATAGTAATGAAATCCATATGGTGTTGGCCTAAGTACCAACATATGTGTCAATGGAAGAAAAGCAGTGACTTCAGAAATAGATGTAGACAAATATGATCAGTTGACTTTTTACAAGGGTCTCTTGGAGATTATATGCAAAAGAGCAGTATTTCCACAAACAATACTGAGATATTTGTATAGTTGAAAGGAGAAAAAAAAAGCTTGACCTTCTCATACTCCAAGAGAGATTTTTGACTAAATTTGATATATCAAAAGTATACACATCTGTTCCTCAAACTTTAATAATGAGCTTGTATGTTATAAATTACTATAGAAATGATAGAAACACTCTGATTTAACATATGACATGGATCTTGTACATAGGAAGAATTCTTACAATTTGAAGACAAGGAAGCAGCTTAAATAGAAAAATGTCAAAGATTTGAAGGGATATAACTAGTGGAGAAATGTGAAAGTTAAAGAATGCACGAGGATGTTTATGATAATTGAATGTTACATTAGGCAAATTAAAAACACAATTGGGCATCACATTGTCAATTACAATAATAAGCAGGGTAGCAATTATATAATAATATCCCATGCTGATGAGGATGTGGAACAACTAGAAGTTTCATGCATTGTTGGGAATTCTCAGTCTTACAGCCACTGTGGGAAACAGTTTGGTTGCTTTTGATAATATTAAACAGGCCATTATCATATAAACCAGTAAGAAAACTCTCAGCCTTTTGTCAAAGAAAATGGGAAATGTATGTCCCCAAAATACTTGCATCGAAAATGGATGCATCCTGAGACCATAATGCTAAGTGAAATATGTCAGACATAGATTAAATACCACATGGTCTTTTCTATAGATGAAAACCAAAACTTAAAAGAATTTAAAGAACAAAGTAAGAGAGATGAGAGTAAACAGGGTAGGAAAGTTTGTGGAGATGGCCAGGGGACATGGAGATGGGAGGACTGGGGGAGGGGAAGCAGAAATGATGAAAGTGCTTTGTGTGTAGGCACCAATTCTCCAGGATGAATGCAATTCTCATGCATCATAAACTAATTGCATGTGAATGTCTAGCAGTTTTGTTTGCAATAATCTATAAATGGAGAACATCTTAATAATGTCTGTTCCTTGTTAAGTAGATGCTCAAATTCTATAACATAAACAATATAATTTAGCAATAAACAGACTGAATCTTTGAAATATATAATGACATGGATGAATTCCAAAAGCCTCACACTCTGTGGAGGAAGCTACCCCACAAAGCTAGAGAGTACACGCAGTAATTCCTTACACTGCACAAGGGTAGGGACAAAAATTCAGATAAAGTGAGGGATTGGCCCATACATACTTACAATATGACAAACTCTGACAGTGATGTCAGTCTTAATTCAAGTCCCACCTCTGCTACCAACTACATAAGCGACTTTGGATAAGTAAGTCATCCTGCTTGAGTCTCAACTTATTCACTAATAAAATAATAATAAAACAGCATTTACCACGTAAGATGTCTGTGAAGATCAAAAGAACTAATACTTGTAATGCTATGAAATGTGACTGGTACTTAAAGGTGTAATGCCAGTGATAAACACAAAGATATATTAATATTAACAATTTACTTAAAATTTTGATACAAATACACGACTATAGAGTGTCAGCAAAGCCAGGAAAGAGAATTAGAATGAAGTTACCCCATGGGACAGATGCCTGTATTTTATCCCTTTGATTAGAAAATCAGAGAATGCAAGAACCAGAGAGAACATAAATATGACCAACTGGTAGCTACTGAGGTACCTTACACTGTTACTCTATGTAATTTTTTTGTATTCCTGTTGTTAAAACTGACTTGGATAAATGCAAAGGTAACTTCTTAGAGAGGGTAAGAACAGGCAAATCTGTTAACAGAATTTATTGGAAAGCAGCCATGCTAATCTTTTCATTTGAAATAAGATTTGTGAGTAATAGAGTGCTAAAGACAAACCATCACAGCCTCCGTGCTTCAGGACAATCTAAGTAGATAAGAAGTGTTACAGCCACAGGGGTTCACAAACACTGAGGCAGAAGAACCTCAAACAAGCAGCAGCCCAGGTCAGACTTCATATGTGGGGGAGAGGCCCAGAGCAGACCAGTGATGCCCACCAAGTCCTCTAGCTGCCTCATGTCCTTCAGTTCATTCTTAGCACTGAATTTTAACACATAATACCCCACCTGCCATCTCCCAAGATGAAAGTATTTGGAAAGGAAAATCCAGCTAAGGGTGCTCTTACAAGAAAGAGCTTTACAAGAAACAGCCAGCAATGAGAGGCTCTCCTAGGTCTAGAGAGGGCAGTTTTGAGGATCTCAGAGAAAGGTGAACATGAAGGAGAAAATGAACAGGGGGCAAAGCATATAGATTTCTCCTATTTTTGCAACTGCCGAAGGTACGTATAATTTGAAAGGTTTCCTAAATCTCTAAATTTTACTGGAAGGCTGAGTTACAGTGACATGAGCACAGAGAAAAACAGTTATTTTTCAAATAGTCCAGATCATGAGTCACTGTGGCTACTAAGTACTCTTGATTTTTCCTGTGTGGTATGGATACTCTTCAATTTTTGAAACAAAGAAATGACAGGAAGAAAGAAAGAAAGAAAGAAAGAAAGAAAGAAAGAAAGAAAGAAAGAAAGAAAGAAAGAAAGAGAAAAAGAAAGAGAAAGAGAAAGAGAAAGAAAGGAGAAAAGGAGTGATTTTAGAAGGAAGGAGAGAGGAGAGGGAAGACAAGAAGGAAGGAGGAAGGAACACAGGAAGGAAGGTAGGTTTTTAATATTCCATGTTTCCCCTGACTTAGCCACACAGTGACTTTTTTTCTTGAACAAATTCCTATTTAGTAGAATACAATGTTCTACTGCCTCCATCTACTTCTGACTTGGTAAAGTTATTCTCGTTTTGATTTGCTTTTTATTTTTCATTCAGAAAGGTATATTTATTAACATTTAAGAGTTGTTCAGTAGCATTTGTATCAAATGTACAAATAAATCTAATAAAAATATTAATATAATTAGCAATGGGTGGAGAGTGTGTTAATTAGAAGACTTATTGTCAAAGAAAATTAATTCTTATTCTTTGACGTAGGGAGCTGGCTTGCAAAGGTAAGAAGTTCGGTATATTAATTTTTTTCCCTTTAGCAGCATCGACTCCTTGAAGGAAGGAAGAAATATATTCTTCCCATTTTAAATGACTTTAAGGATAGCATAATATGAAAGGTCATAAATTAGGGATGGCATACGTTTCTTTAGAAAATTTAATAGGTGCCCATTCATAAAGCACAGCTTATTTTACTTCGGTGAATCAGAGTGATGGTTTAAGTATTGCACAAGAGCATTTCATGTGATGCATGCCACACTTAGGATCCTGCAGGACAGAGATAATCATAAAACAAAGAAACTAAGTGCTCAGAAGCGTTCGGGGCTTGGAAATAAAGCACGTTAATTTCTAGGTAGTTAAAGAGGTTTTCATTTCAGCGATTGTGAATGCCACTTCCCTTAGTTAAACCAAATAAAATGCCAGGTTCAAAATAAGAATGAGTACAAAGTTAATAGGAAATCTTTTGTCCTCTGTTAATCTATGTATGGATTTTCAAGTCTTCCTTTATCTTGGGCAGAAGGATGAACTATGCTTGAAATGTATAAAGAACATTGATGAATTTTATTTTCCCACTGAATACTTTTCAATGCAAATATTCTTATAGAAGATAAACAAGGCTTTATTAGGCTTTTATATCTTAGCAAAAATAAGATTAGTAGGTTATTTTCTATGATAAATCAAAGTTGCATTTGCTTTGAAATTCGCAGAACATTGGCAACTTAAGTCTCTATAAGGAAACCAAAGTTAAAGACGCACTCTTGTTTCTGTCTTATTGAGATACTGGGGGTAGAAGTTACTAAATGTCTCTGAGATGTAATTCTTCCATGAATAGATGTGAAGGAAAATAAAATGTAATATGATATTTTACCACATTTTCTTTGAATAGCCATGTAAGCCTAATAATTCAAGTTAGTATCATTAGAAAATTCAGCCCTAAAATGTTATCTTAGTATCTATTAATAATTGCAGCTAAGAATCTGTCCTTCAAACAAAAAATATTTAAATAAAATGTTTTTTAAATACTATGAGTTAATAGAGGATGTGAGCCTAAACCGAAAAAGAAACTCAAGGAAAGTATATGAAGACACTTCTCTTTAATGTCACACTAAAAGGCTAACATTTATTCATTCCGAGGTGAGCAGGGCCTACAGAGGCTCTTGTTTGGGGAATTTCATCAAAAGGAGCACCAAGAGTGAGAATGATGCTACATTTGCTAATTCTTACCCCCAACTCAGGCTAGGAAAAAAGAATTTACTGACAACTGCTGAGATTATTGAATAAATTTAGTATTTATATAAAGGCATTAGAAGGTGCTTCTGAAAAAAAGGGACAAATTATTTTGAATAGTAACCATTGATGCTCTTGGTAACAATGGAAATAAAGAAAGGATTTACATAATCTTTTATTAGGACAAAGATTTTGTGTGCACATTGAAAATAAGGAGAAGATATTCAGAAATGTCATGAACTATAACACTGAAGGTCAAACCACAACAAATTCTGGGGGAAACTGTGTGGCTTCCTCCTAAGTTTACCAGCGATTAAAGTGCAATTAAATATGTGAACATATGACAAATTAAATAATATACAGAAACATTCTCGTATAAATGGCAGGGGAGGAGAATTCAGCACCTGGAATGTGGACACACCCAAGGACCAGTGTATATATAACCTGAAGCCCAGACTGTGACATTGAATCTCAAAGAGCCTTCTCGTTAGTTACACTCAGCTGAACTCACACCTGCCAACATGTCCTACGGCTGCTCCTCTGGAAACTTCTCCTCCCGCTCCTGTGGGGGCTACCTGCAACTCCCAGCCTCCTCCTGCGGCTCTTCCTACCCCAGCAACCTGGTCTACAGCGCTGATCTCCAGTCTCCCACCAGCTACCAGCTGGGCTCCTCGCTCTACAGTGGCTGTCAGGAAACCTTCTGTGAGCCCACCAGCTGCCGGAGGTCCTGTGTGCTGTCCAGGCCCTGCCAGACGTCCTGCTACCGTCCAAGGCCCTCTGCGTTCTGCAGTCCCTGCCAGGGGACTTACTCTGGATCTCTGGGCTTTGGGTCCAGCAGCTGCCACTCCATGGGGTATGGGTCAAGGAGCTGCTATTCCTCAGGCTGTGGCTTCAGTGGCTTCAGACCCCTGAGTTACGGAGTCCGTGCCTTCCCTTCCCTGACCTATGGCTCTGGGTTTTGCAGCCCATCCTACTCGGTTACTAGAAACTTCCAATCTCCCTGTTATAGACCAACCTGTGGATCAGGCTTCTGGAGATCAACTTGTTGAATTCCAGAATTTTTAAACCACATGTCTCACTTGACTTAGTTTTAGTTGACATATCAAGCTATAAAATTAATGAATAGATTCAAATATCTGTAACTTTCAAAACAAGTGATTCATTAGTACTTAAATTCTTCTTATGAAATATATATCTGAGCTAATAAACTCATTCTTCTGTGCATCCAATATGCGTCCACTGTCCTTCGTTGATTTCCAAAGCTTGACTTGTGATTTGTGTTTGGGGCTCCAGGTTTTCTAGGTACCTTCCCTAGAAAATCTCTTTCCCAAGGAAATGGCAGCCATGTGGGGTAAAGTCACGCTTCTGGGCAGTCTGCTGTCTAAGAAGAAACAAGAGCATGGGTTACACCATCATAGCTGGGGCAGCCTGAGCCACATTACTGAGAACACTCTTGACAGAGAGAACAATTTATGCCAACAATGATATTTGGTTTAGAATTTATGTTTTCTAAACAATAGTTTTCCCAGAAAATATCAAGTAGGTGATGAAATATTTATAAAATATTTTACATAAAGCATTAAAATAAATCTGGTATATTGGCATAAAAAAGAGAAAACAAAATGTGCCAGGTGCTGGAGGGTACTATGGTTATCTTTAGATACCTGAGGAAATGCATTATTTTGTATGTCAAAGAGAAACACAGAGAGAAAAAGAAGGGACAGATTGACTTAGTGATTAAAGCTGAGTAATAGTTTCAGGAAACTGTATTTGTAGTTTTTCTGAGAAATCTATACTGTCTTCCCTCTGTATCTATGGGGGAATAGGTCCAGGATTTCCTCTGAGATACTAAATTCTATGGAAATTAAAATACCTTAAATAAATTAGGGTAAAATTGTATATACCATATGCATATATCTTTCTATACCTTAAATCATTTCTAGGGTTACTCACAACACTTAATATAATATAAGGAGTTTTACTAAATTTCAGAGAATAATTATCAATAAAGGTCTGTGTATGTCCGGTATGTACATTTTATTCAACTATTTTCAGTCCCACTCCTGGTTGAATCCATGATGTGGTACCACAGACATGGAGGGCTGACTGTATCTAGGATGATTATAAATAGAGTTTTTTTTTAGTTTGATTCCCTCCAAAATTAGATAAATATCTTAGTGAGTTTTGCATTGAATGAGAAGATTGCATCACTTTTAATATTTTGAGTCCTATAGCCTCCCTTATTCTCCTTGGGATCCATTGCTGAGCTTAAGAGTGAGACAAAAATTAAATTGTCTCTGGATGGCATTCAGATCTGAGCAGTAAACCTTCTATGCTCATTTCAATTTGAGTACATTATTTTAGCGATCAAGTGTGTTATAAAAATTTAGATCATGACATATTTTGTAGTAAGTTTCTATGAGTGCTAGAATAATTATCAAAGATCTTCACTCCCCCACATTGTGCTCCACGATTGCTTATTGATTTGTCCTCCCTAACACCTTTTCCTGAAGAGTCATAAAAATTTTTGTGAGAAAAGAGGATACTTCTCTTACACTGAGATAATAGTGAGCTAAGTTTAGAGCTGTGGAAACACAGAGATGTGGTTGTTTTGTGTGCAGTAACGTCCTCAGTGACAAAACAAAGAAAAATAGAAGAGAAGGACAAAGCCAGGAATTCCTGGTGGTACAGAATTTTCTGTTTCCTGTCATCCCTTAAAGTCAACTTTAGTTATTCCTATATATGTTGAATATGTTGGCCAATAAATGCCCCTTTTGGCGTAAAATAATTAAAATAAAATAAAATTTCTGAGATTCTCAACCAAAGAGTTATAGTTAATAAAAATGTGTCATCGTGGAGCACTGACTCAGACTGTGGTGCAAACAGGCGATTGAAATATTTACAAGGAAGACAAAAGGCTTCCGTGGAGTCTGACTACTGCCATTAGCAGTGATGGTAGACTACTAATTCTTCTTTAAGTAATGTGCAATGAGCAAACAGTGGTGAAGGAACATTTGAGAAGTCAGAGTTAAAGGGGTCACAGTAACACAGCCAAGGAGAACTTCCTGGAAACTAGAATCTTCTAACATAAATCACAGAGGCAGCAGAACTACCAGAGCTGACATATGCATGACAACATCAGAGACCAAATGTTCAGTTGATAGTAATAAGGAATCTGAATATGGACCACATATTTTGTGTTTTTATGTTCATAAAATATTATTTAAAGTAGTCCAATAATGTGGTGGATTAACTAATGGTCTACTTGTAATGCCCAGCTGCACTGAGTCAGCATGGTGCTGGGTATGGAAGGCCCACCTGAGGACTATTGGCAACATCATAACAAGAGACCTGGAGGGGAAGATGGTGCTGTTGATTCTCCTGGAGAAGCTGGTCATGCTGGTTTTACTGACATGAACTCAGTCATTCTTGTCAGAAGAGGAACTAAGATCCTTGCTGTTTCTGAGGACGGCTACAGTTCTCTTTGGAGGAGCTCTGGTCCTTACCTTGAGCATCACATCCTGGCTCTAGTGCAGATTTCGCAGCCTGCTGGCACAGACTTTTCAGCTTTCACCACTGACCTTTGGGCCATCCCAGTGCAGATCCTTGATACAGACATGCATGACATATTGTTGTGGGCTCTAGGCCTCTAGCTGGATTCATGGAGGACATTACCATGGGGTCCAGGCCCTCAGCTGGCTTCTTTGGTTCTCTAATGTGTGGACAGATCTCTTGTACTATTCTGTATTTGACACTTGGGGTGAATGTTAAAAAATACTCCTATAAATACATGTCCTATGTTAAATCTATTCCCCTGTGAACTCTGACCACAACAATTAAGTTTTAGAAATTGTGAATCTTGATTATCCTAGGAAGCAATACTAGACAGTAGGAAAGCATCTGAGTTGAGTGGTGAGTAGTGGCCTGAGAAAAGACCAATTAAACATATCGTTACCTCCATGTGATGATGTTCTGCTTTTCTCAAGCTGAAGCAAACATCAGACAAAACTTGAAGATGTTACACCAAGCGAAATAAAGACACAAGAAGACAATCATCGTGCTGTTTTCCTCTGCAGAATCTAAAATAGTCAAATTAATAAGAGTAGACTGGTACTTACCAAGGTCCAAAAAAAAAAAAAAAATGGGGGAAATGGAGAGGTACAGCAAAAGAATACAAACCTTTAATATTAAGACAAACAAATTCTGTGGATCTAAAATGGAGTATGAAGACTAGAGTTAAAAATACTTTACTGTGTACTTAAAACTTTCCAAGAAAGTAATCTTTGCATTCTTACTACAATGAATGAACACATAAATAAGCAAAACCAATAAATTTACTTTCTTCAAGAGATAGTAAAAAAACATCAATTTGTTCAAAGATTTTTTCCTCCCATGTCTATCAGAATTTATAAATTTCCCTACATTCTCTACTTTGCTGCCTGATGGGATTAGTACATTGTTCTATGACCCCAAACATCTAAAACTCCTCTTCCCAATGTTAGCTGGTTGGAGGGATGGTCTAATGCACTCGATAGGTCAGGTACATAGTGTAGCTGTATGTTTAGCATTTGACAAAGCAAGTTAACCAAGTTAATTCCCTTTAAGAGTTTGTTTTTGATTATTTTAATACATTCAAAGGCATTGTGACTCTGCAAAAACAGAACAAAACAAACAATAGACAAATTTTTGAAAAGCTAAAAGGACTATAGGGTTTTTTGCTTACTGAGAAAAAAGTTTGAAAGAGACTAACACTGGTTTTTCCAAGTGTCTGAGGCAGAGAATAGTATAATTTTTAGTCAAAATCAATTTTAATCAATTCTGTTTTCAAAGCAATGAGCTGTTGCTCTCATTTCAGGGAATTTCTGCATGGGACAGCATTGAGATTTCTCTCCTACACCTACTCTTTTTGTGTTTTATCAACAAAATAACTCTAGTCATGTAATTGCAAGGGAAGCTTTATCACACTTGTAATTCTATAAAAGAAGTAAAAATGGCTGATTCTGTATTTTTAACAGCTTATTCTGCTGGTTGACCAAATGGCTGCTGAGGTTAATGTCTTGATCATAAAATTGATTCCAAGGGCTTCATTTTCTGTGTCCTGTGGAAATTGCAAGGTGAAGCGGTGTCACTTGGTCTTCATATTTTCCAGCTTATGAAATGAATTTGAAAAACACTTCAACTTCACCAATTTTAGGGCAATTTTCTACGGTGTGTTACTACACTAGGCAGGACAGGGAGACTCATCAGAGAACATTTAGCACATCCTCGGCAGCTGCAGACTTCATTCTGGGAGAAGGCCATATTAATGCTCTCTTAATCGATTGTCAACAAAGGGAAAGGAACTCTCTGCACAGCTCATCCACTTGCACTGATGCTGGTATTCTGCTCAGCAACTTTTTCATTTTCAATTATGGACAAGGAAGGAACAGGATTATGAATTGTAAAATAACTTGCATTTTTGATCCTACTTCTTACATTTTGTCATGTGTTCTAGTTGTTTGCCTGAAATGTCCATATCCTGTCCTTGTTTGACTTATTATCTGAGGAATGACAAGTATTAAAACCACAATAATAGAACTTTATCTCATCTGTACCATGCATTGTTCTTCATGAGTTGTTAGTGTTAGGAGACTTTAAAAATGTAGGTGGTATGGTTGGGTAACAAAATACTTGCAAATAGAGTTAGTCTCACTGGTTTATAAGTTTTTAATAAACTAATTTTAACAATCTACTTAAGAGATTTTTATACTTTTTATCTGAAAAAGAATATAGGTGTTAATTTATAGGGGTCCTAAAAAGAATATATGTGAGAATTATGAAATATAAGGTAAAAATTTTTGTATTTTATATTTCTTGAAGGTGATATACTTCAGATTCCTGTGTTTTGACATGTGATAGGATTATCACATTTTTAACAATTATTGTCACATGTCAGTCTCCTTTTGGTAAGCAGGAGAAACCGCTAGTAGAATGTGGTCAGCATTACTGAGATTAAAATAAAACTTCACTCTTTGAAACATATACAAAAATGACTGGATACAAATAATGGATGAAAATAATTTTGTTGTCAAAGTTAGAGTTAGTGATTAAATTATTTTCTGTCCTAAATCTTTACTGATTGTTATTTTGGGTCAAAATAAAACAAGTCAATAATTCACAAAAGTTCTTTTTTCGTTATTTATTTATTCATTTATTTATTTATTTTTGTCTTTTGGAGACAAGGTTTCCC